AAAGCCAATTAACAATATAATTTTTAAACATTATCACATTTGATCTTCAGAAAAGCCCTCAGCAACAAAGGACACATATATTCAAGAGATTTCCCATATGTACATAGATAGTAAGCACATTATTTTTTTTTTTATATAGTTTTGGGAGACTAACATCTAAGAGCAATACATTGACATATTTGGTTTCTTTTGAGACCCGTCTTCTTGGCTTATAGATGTCCACCTTCTTGCTTTGTCTTCAAATGGTCTTTCTTCTGTGCATGTCTGTGTTCTAATCTCCTCTTCTTATAAGGAGGCCAGTCATAATGGATTAGGGCCCATCTTACTTTGGTCTGATTTTCATTTAATTACCTCTTTAAGAATCATATCTGCAAATATGGTCACATTCTGAGGTACTGGGGGTTAGACTTCAACATGTGAACTTTGAGGGAACATAATTCAGACCATAACCATAAGTGATAGAACGAGAACATGAATCTAGGTATTGATTGAAATGACGTGTGTGTGTGTGTGTGCACATGTCTGCGTGTGTGTGTGTGTGTGTGTGTGTGTGTGTGTGTGTGTCGGGATAAGTCCACAATAGTCTCTCTAATGAAAGCCAACATCCTATTTTATTCATGTAGAATAATTGAACATGAATGAAAACAAGATAGCCAGAATATACAGCTTTACGAATGTTATGTTGAAAAGTGCAATGTAAAATATTAACGATTCTGGAAAGATAGCAGCAATGGTGGTATAGTTTTAGAATATTCTGAAATTTCCCCATAAATAGAGGTAAGGAAACTATAAGAGCAAAGCAAACCTGGCACATATCATCTATGATAACACTAAGTGGTAAGCTACCCACATGAACTCCAAAATAGGAACAAACGGGCACAAACTTCTAAAAATTATATGACCCACACAATAATAACATCTGTTTGAGAGGAAGGAGGGTGGGAGGAAGAGGAATGAGAACTTCAAACTTGCAACAAGCATTTAATAGAAAGTGCAGCAAATTGAACTAAGAACAGCAGCCAAAATTGTGAGGTGGATTGCAACAAAATCTGAAAGTGTTGGCAAAGTGTGGGCCCTATAAACCAACCAACAGAGATCCATTCCAGGACAAAAGCTCACAGGATGAGAAACTACTGGAGTAGAGCAAAATCTAAACTGAAGAGGACAAGATCAATAAGAAAGAAAGGAAAAAGAAGATACAAATAAAAGTGAGGATATAACATCAAAAGCACCAATCATGAAAAAAAATAACAAAGTGGAGTTCATTAAAATAAAACATATCTACTCTGCAAAAGTCACTACTGAAGAATAAGATGACAAGCCACACAGTAGGAAAACATATTTCCAAAATACATATCTGATAAGACAGTGATATCAAAAATATACAAATAACTCTTCAAACTTTACAACAAACAAATTAACAACCAGATTTAAAAATGGGCAAAAAATTTGAACAGACACCCTACCGAATAAGAGACACAAGATGGCAAATAAGCACATAAAAAGATATTCAAAAGGATATGTCCTTAGGAAAATACAAATTAAAACAATGAAATACCACTATACATCTATTAGGATGACCAAAATCCAGAACACTAATAATACCAAATACTGGCAAGGAGGTGAAGCAACATTGTTGGGAATGCAAAATAATACAGCCACTTTGGAAGACAGTTTAGCATTTTCTTAAAAACACATGCACACACATAATCATAGCATACTTTCCAGCAAAAGCACTCCTTGATATTTACCCAAAGGAACTGAAAACAGATCCATATAAAAGCCTGCACATGGCTGTGTATAGAAGCTTTATTCATAATTGCCTAAACTTGGAAGTAACAAGATATCCTTCAGTAGGTGAATGGATAAACTGTCCTCCATATAAGCAATGAAATATTAATCAGCAGCAAAAATACATGAGTAATCAAGACATAAAAGGACATGGAGGAAATGTAAATGCATATTAGTAAATAAAAGAAGACAGTCTGAAAAGACTAAATACTATATAATCCCAACTATACAGCATTCTAGAAAAGATAATACTATGAGGATAGTAAAAAGATAAATGGTCATCAAGAATTTGGAGGGATGAAAGGATAAATAGGAGAAGAACAGAGAACTTTTAGGCCAGTAGAACTATCCTGTATATACTATAATGATGGACACATGTCATTATACATTGTCAAAACCCACAGAATATATAACTCAGAAAATGAATCCTCATGTATAGACTTTATTAATAATGATGACTGAATTCTGTTTCATGGATTATAACAAATGTACCATACCAGTGTGGGATGTTGATGGTAGAGCAGCTGTGTGTGTCAGAGGGAGAAAGGGATACATGGAAACTCTCCATACTTTCCACTCAATTCTTCTGCACACCTAAAACTCCTCTAAAAGCTAAAGTAGACTAATTAAACTAAATAAAAATTTAAAGTTCTAAAAATGTAAAAATAAACATGGGGGAGAGAAAAACCCAGGAAATTTCAAAAGACAGGCCATATTTTTGATACTTTGAGAGAATGATAAAATAAGGGCGCTGGAACTCTGAATTAGGGGAAAAAAGCTAAACAACAAAAAACTATCCTCTAACATATGGTTCAACAAGATCAAGTAGATTCATTTCTTTGTATTTCTCCCTCTACTGAAAAATCTGGATATTATATATGAAACAAACATAAAAAAATTCTCAATGTTGAAGAAAAAATGATATATTAGCTCAGGAATGACATAGCAGTGCATTTCTTATGCTTTATATTCCTCAACTGGGTGCTGAGGAAGTCAGCAACCCAGAAACACCAGTGAATATAACCATACAAACCAAAGAAAGCTCCAATAAAGCCTCCTTTTTTTAGCCAAAGGACCAGGAAAGGAGAGGCCCAGCAAGACAGAAAACTTATACAGAATAACTGCTCTATCACTGACAAACGCCGTGGAAAATATATGGCCTCTACATTTACACCCCAAACCAAAGGCCAGTGGTGAGCCTGGACTGCAAATCACCCAGCAATAATGAAGTACCCTTCCTGTTCAGGTGGTAGAAGAAAAGGCTTAGTAGGAAGCCAAGTTTTTGACCACCTTCCAGTGTTAATAAGATACCCATATGGTCTCACTGAAGTTCACCTGGCAACATAAAAAGGTCACCCTACCCCTACTAGCTAGGGTTGTGAGTGTGGAGCTTGAACTCTCACCTCTGCCCAGTAGAACTGAGGCACCCTCCCCTCCCTTGTAAATCAGTAGAGGCTGAGTGGGGAGCCTTGACTCTTACTCACATGTGGGAGTAACAAAGAGGTGCTCCCACATCCTGCTGATATAGTAGCAAAAGCAGCATGCTAAATAGGTTTAAATAAGATCCAAAATAAAAAGAATATAAAGTCTAGTAAATAAATAGGAAATATAAAGAACCAAATGAACATTTTAGAACTGAAAATACAGTATTTTTAAAAGCTCAATGGATACTTCCAATACAGTGTGAATATAACAGAGAAAAGAATTGGTGAACTTAAAAAGAGAACAATAGGAATAGTTCAATCTGAAAAACAGAGAGACAATGGACAAAAAAAAAAGTTAGCACTCCCTCTTGACTTTGAACAAATAAGAACTCATTTCATAGAAAAGTCCTCAAGAAGAAAAGATTCTAGTTGAATCGAATATAAATTTTTTATGCTAAAAATAAATAATACCCCTACCAAAAAGTGAAAGCTTATCAGAGAGGCATGGCCTTACAAAGATCAAAATTGTACCTGAAATTTCAAGTTGAAATAATAGAAATTAAGAAAGTAATACAAGTAATGAAAAAAAAAAACATAAATTATAATTAGAACAACTAAAAAAAAAAAAGTGATAACAGAAACGCATAGACATGTAGAAGGGAATAAGAGACATTACGGACTACCAGAGGGTGGAAGGTGGGAGGAGGGAGAGGATCAGGAAAAATAAGTAAGGGGTCCTAGGATTAATACCTAGGTGATGAAATAATCTGCACAACAAACCCCCATGAAACAAGTTTACCCACATAACAAATCTGCACATGAATCCCTGAACCTAAAATAAAAAGTAAAAGAAATAAAACATGATTTGAAAAGAGAAGAAACATAACTAATGAAATTTTTTTTGTAATGTTAACAAAAAAGACTAAACTAGAAGAAACACAAAAGCCACTGATAACACCTTTCAGAAAAACAAAAAAGAAAAAAAAATTAAATTTGAAAAATTGAAAAGATTAAAAACAGTTTAAGAAAAAGTAATACAAAAGATAGACAAAGAAGATCCACCATAAGTTATATCAAAATCCTAAAGTAAGAAAATCAAAGCAATGCAGCAGAACAAACATTATAGGTTATAATAAACCTTAGATAAAAATAACACTTGAAGTTATATACTGGAAGTGCACACTGCCTACTTGGGAAAACCAACCCAGGATGAAAAATATTGAAATATAAATCTACATAAATCTAAAGAAAAAAATTTTTAGGTATCTAGGCAACAATTATAGAATACATTCTTTGCAAATGGTCATGAAACATTCATAAGCTATGCCACAAGAAGGTATGGTGGACCATGCAATATGATTCACTGGAACTGATTACAACAGATTTAAAGGAGAACTCAATCAGATGCATTAAAATACCCCAATATTCAGTAAAGACACACTTCTAAATAACCCATTTCAAAAAGAAATCACAAAGAAAATCAGTAAATATTTCAAAATAATAAAATATATCGAAATTTGTATAATGAAGCTACAGCACTACTTAGAGAAAAATCTATTGCTTTAATTGCCTGTATTGGGAAGAAAATAAGATTTGGATTCAGTTACCTAACTTGCCAATTTAAAAAGCTTGAAACAAAACCCAAAGAAGTATGGAAAAGAACAATGATAAGAAATTAAGAAACAAGTAGACAAAAGAAAAATGTTGACTCTTTGAAAAGATTTTTAATATCCATAAACCTAGCAAGGCTACACCTCAAAAGTAATAAAACAGCACAAACCTTACCTTGGCCAATTCTGTAATTTTACCAAAACCAGGCTTCCAAGAGGGAGCTGTGAATAGACAATCTTAAGTCCACTCTGATGAAGTTGAGACTCTTCAGGGAAGTCTTCTTCAGAAATTAAGCAGTTACTATATCTTGAATCGGTGTTCATGAAGCAGTACCAAGGTTCATTATGATCAACTTTGGCTGCATCCTCATTTGACAACAATCTCCATTTCAAACAATTTTCATTCTCACATTGAACCCACATTTTGTTTACATACATGTTTTCCACTGAGGAATCCATTGCACAGTTACAATATTCAATCTTCCCATCCAAATTTTCTTTATCCATAAAGCATTTAATCTGGAAAATAAGAAAAAAAAATAACAGAATGAGGATTCAGACCAAAATCAGAGAAATTCCTCTTTGATATCTTCTGTGCCCATCCTCTCGCTATCCTTCAAAGACTACGTATGTTGAACACGTTGTTTCCACCTATCTAGAAACAAAGGAACAAAATGGAAACAACAATCACTCTGATCCTCAAATGCCCCAAAATTAAAAATAAGAAAAATATGATGGAGCCAAAGAGAAGTAAAGGTTGACTATAATTTCTATTGACCAACTATATAGCACACATCTGGTATCTATCAAGTATATTTTGCCATGATAACAGCTAAGCCTTACTGAATGCTGACTATTCACCATATTCTAAGTGCTTTATGCACATGACTCATATAGTCTTTCCAACAACCTTATATGCCCATTTTTACAGACAAAACTGGAGCTAAGAAAAGTAAAGCAATTTGTTTAAGGTCCTGGAGCTGGTACACAGTACAGCTGGAATTTAAATGCAGGCAGTTTGGTTCTAAGTTTGTGATCTTATCCATTAGTTTGTACTGCTTCTTGGGTATATATACAGCATGACTAAATAATTCTTTTCTTATCTGTCACAGGAAATCAAATGCAGCAAAACATTTCAACATATAAAAATTTAACATTTTCTAAGTTAAAGAAATAAATCTCTTAAATAGTTTTACCTTTTATTCATTATTAATTCAATTTCTCAGGGCTTTCTCATTAGAAAAATGTTAAACATATAAAATGTTAGAATTGTATAACAAAGCCCCCAAATTCTAGCTTCAGTAACAATGTATGTAATAAGAAATACTATAGAGTACAAGTAAAACTAATTATTAGCAAATTATTTTGCAATACAAAGCTTATTTCTTAAAAATGAAAAGACTGATGTACCATATACATGAATTAGTAAAACACTACTAACCAAGTATAAGCACCATTTAAAGAACCCTTTCATTCATAAGTTAATCATATATTTAGAAGCTCACTTACTTATATTGGTCATATACCTTACCAGGGCCATTACAAATTGCTTTAGAAATTTGTCAATATATTTCAAAAGCCATAGTTCAAAAATTTTGATGTATTAATCCCACTCATGCAAATATAATAAAATAAATTTAAAAGAGACCAACCAACATGTACAAAGACAAAAATATTCAGTGTAACACTGTTCATGATAATGAAAAAGTGAAAAAGTCTAAATGCAGAATCAAATCTATCAGAAGATATCAACTTTCACTAATGTTATTTGTATTAATGTGGTTAATTCTTTAGTTGATGAGAAAATGCATAAGGAGCAAAACTGCAATGTGCATTGCAACTGAAGTGAATAAATTTTTTCTCTACTCTCTGGGTCACCAATCAGTAAAGCAGAAGTGATTGAGTTCAGTCTTTGAAACCAGATTGTTACTCACAGAGTCCCTGTGCTTTGCTAGACTTTCCATTCACATCAAGTGTGTGTGTTTAACAGCTTTTTTTGCTTGTTTAGTTCCAATCTTCATATATTGCCTTACTCTGTGGGATAAGACAGGTAAAATATTCACTAGAAGCCATGATAGTAGATTTCTTTTTCTAATTTTAAAGAGAATGCTTCCAATGTTTGACTGTTATGTTGGGAGTATGGTTTTTGTAGAGACCATTAAAAAGTTACAGAAAGTTGTTTTCCTTCTATTACCAGCCTACCAAAAGGATTTGTTTGTTGTTATTAATCATAATGTGGCATTTAATTTAATCAAATTCTTTTCTGCATATACTGAGATAAATATATGATTTTTCTTTTAAAATCATTAATTGAGTACATTGTATTCATGGATTTTTGAATAATAGCCTATACTTGCATTCTGGGTAATCTCTACCTGGTTATACCTCATAAGTTTTTAATATACATTGCCATATTTAGTTCATTAATATTTAAGATTTTTCACATATATATATAAATAACATTTGTCTATTATTTTATTTCTCCTTTTGTCTTTGTCTGGTTTTGATATCAAGATTGTAAGTCTCATCAAATGAAGTGAAAAATGTTCCCCCATTTTTGGAAAGTTTGCCTAAGGGAGGAATTTTCTAATTTCAACAAAAATTTTATGAATTTTAGTATATCTACTATATTTCTCACTATATTTCTCTTTCACTTTGAAGTTTATGCCCTCTCATTTTTTCTTCATTTCTCTCATCAGAACTTATTAAAACAACCAGAATTTGAGTCTCCTTATTTTTCTGAATTCTATTTAATGAATAGCTGCACTTTTCTTAATTCTTTTTCTTTCTTTCTTTGGACATTCATTGTTGCTCTTATTTTTCCCTTCTTGAGCTGATATTTAGTTAATTCATTTTCAGTCTTTCCTAATATGAACATTCAAGGTTATTCATTCCTCTGTCAGCATTGCTTTGTTATTTAGTTTTAAATATACAATTTCAATTCATCTTTGACCCATGAGTTACTTAATTTTAAAAATTCAGCCAGGCGTGGTGGCTCACGCCTGTAATCCCAGCACTTTGGGAGACTGAGGTGGGCGGATCATAAGGTCAAGAGATGGAGACCATCCTGGCCAACATGGTGAAACCCCGTCTCTACTAAAAATACAAAAATTAGCTGAGCATGGTGGTGTGCGCCTGTAGTCCCAGCTACTGGGGAGGCTGAGGCAGGAGAATTGCTTGAATCTGGGAGGCGGAGGTGCACTCCAGCCTGGCACCTGGCTACAGAACAAGACTCTCTCAAAAAAAAAAAAAAAAATCAGAAGGCAAGAGTATTTAAGAGTTATCTTTTTGTTATTGATTTTTAATGCAACTGTATTTTGTTTAGAGAATATAATCTGTGTGATATTGATTTTTTGGCATTTGTTTTGTGGTCCTACTTAATACTTGTGAATGTTATATGTGTGCAAAAAAAGGATGTGTATTATTCAATTGTTGGGTGCAAAGTGTACATTTAATCATTATACCAAGCTTGTGTCAACCATTATAAATAAAATTTTATGATTGTGGGGTTAGTTTTCGCTATCCATACTAAATGGTTGATATATTAATTACTAAAAGGGCTATGTTAAAATCTCCCATGGTAATTGTGGATTTGTCAATTTATCCATGCAAATTTATCAAGTTTCTTTGCTTTTTAAATATATGTGTTCATACTTGTTACATCTTGCTTGTGAATTCTTTCTCATTTTATGTAATGATGCAATTTATCCCTAATATTCTTTGCCTATTAAAATCTACTTGGTCCACTATTAACACAGCAATTAAGATAGTAGTTATGTTTTTGACTGGCCTGGTCCTGGTTATAACTTTTACCATCCCTTTACTTTTAGCCTTTCCAATACTAAGGGGTTTTTTTCTTTCCTCTGTAAACAGTATATAGTTGGGATTTGCATTTTTATCTAATCTAAGATGTGATCTGACAACCAGTGGTTTTAGTTTATTTACTTTATTTTGACATTGATATACTTGCATTTTTGTACACATTATACTATTTCTTTACTTTTCTATTGAAAAAAATTAATTTTATTCTTCTCTATACTGATTTTGACAAATTTATGTTATTTTTATTACTTTAATAGTTACCCTTAACACTATTTTGTTTTTTTCTCCAACAGAGTCTTGCTCCATAGCCCAGGCTGGAGTGCAGTGATGCGATCTCAGCTCACGGCAACCTCTGCTTCCCAGGTCCTGGTTCAAGTAATTCTCCTGCCTCCGCCTCCTGAGTAGCTGGGATTACAGGTATGCACCACCACGCCCGCTAGTTTTTGTATTTTTAATAGAGATTGGGCTTCACCAGGACGGCCAGGCTGGTCTTGGAACTCCTGACCTCATGATCCGCCCGCTTCAGATTCCCAAAGCACTGGGATGACAGGCATGAGCAACCCCACCCGGCCAATACTACTCTCAATACGTGATTTAACAAGGTATAAATTAATCAATATCTCTACCTTCTTCAAAAATAACAGAATGCTTTAATTCAGATGACCTTTGTGTCTTTATCTCATTTCTTTCCAGCATCAGAGTACTATTTTGCATTTATACCTCAAAATTAGTTATGATTATCACGTGTTTCTTACAATTCTCATTTAGATTTTCCATATGTTTTCCAGTTTCTTTACCGTCATTACTTACTACACCTAAGAGTATTCATTGAATAAGGTTGGTGAGAAAAAAGGAGTAAATAGCAGCTGGGTGTCTTTGCTCACGCCTGTAATCCCAACACTTTGAGGGGCCGAGGCTGGTGAATAGTTTGAGGCCAGGAGTTTGAGACCAGCTTAGCCAACATAGTGAAACCCTGTCTCTACTAAAAATACAAAAATTAGCCGGGTGTGGTGGCAGGTGCCTGTAATCCCAGCTACTCATGAGGTTGAGACAGAAGAATCACTTGAACCACGGGGAGGCTGAGGTTGCTGTGAGCCAACATCGTTCCACTGTACTCTAGCCTGGGTGACAGAGTGAGACTCTGTCTTTAAAAAAAAAAAAAAAAAAAAAAAAAAAAAAAAAAAAAAAGAAGAAGAAGGAGGAGAAAAAAAGAAAAAAAATTAGGTCACCTGGTATTTTCTGTGTTTGTGAATGATTAAGTTGGAACACTCTACTTTTTGTCTAAGTAGTTAACCAATGATATAAATAATATTTATTTATTTATCATTTAGTAATTGATCCAAAATGGTTCTTTATTCTAATTCATATATGTGCACATGAATCTATTTCTGGGCTCTTCATTCCTTTGTTTTAGATGTCTTTCCCTGTACCAAAAGAGATCCAGAAAATTCTAAGTCTAAAGCAGGTATTGAGACTCTACGTAGACAACGGAGCGGAGGGATAATATTTGGGGTACAGTTTTAGAAAAAATGAGATTACCAGTAACCAGTTCTTTCAAGGACATTCTATTTATTTTTATTTCATAAGAAAAAATAGACTTTCTTAATACTAACATCAAATTGACACTGGAATCTTCACTAAGACCACATGTAAGCTGGTCATATGTGAGGTCTCCTGTTGAAAAGGTGGGAGATGAC